CCGTGTGCGACGATGCGGACATTTGATGATTTAGATCATTTCTCAAGCCCACCCATTGTTTGCCTGTCCCAGACGGGACTGTTGGAGCCCATAAGCTTTGGCCACTGTTGAGGGTGTTGACGAGTCTCCAGGATAGACAGGCTAGCTGAGCAGCCCCGAGGGCCATCAATGGCCCCACCCACTCTGGTCTGGTCACTCCCAGAGCCAGCAGAGAAGGGAAGGGAGTATCTGGTCACTTGGGCCAGCCCAGCAACCCCAAAGGTAGGTTCCAAACCCCCGAACAGGCAGAAGAGCCCCTGGCTGCATCTTCCGGAGGTTCCACGTTCCCGGGGTACAGTGGTTTAAGGGAACCAGATCAGACCTCAGGACCCCACTCTTCAATTCTGCCCTTACACCTTCTCTTTTTATGTCCTCTGAAAACAACAGGGGGTTTCTTTCAAAACACTACAATGTTCTGTGGCTCTTTTCTCCTCTGCTCATTGATTTCACTTTCCACTCCTGTGTTCGGGCAACACTCAGAGGCAGAATGCCTCCTGAACTGGGTTCCAAGTGGGTTTTTTTTTTTTTAATGTTTGTTTATTTTTGACAGAGAGAGGGGGGCAGAGCGTGAGTGGGGGAGGAGCAGAGAGAGAGGGAGACCCAGAATCCAAAGCAGGCTCTGGGCTCTGAGCTGTCAGCGCAGAGCCTGATGCGGGGCTCGAACTCACGAGTTGTGAGATCACGACCTGAGCTGAAGTCGGTCGCCCAACCAGCTGAGCCACCCAGGTGCCCCCGGTTCCAAGTGGGTTTTATTGCCGTGAGCAGACTTTTTCCTGGCTGACTGCATCCTTGATCGATTGGGGTTTCTGAGCGCCCAGAATGGATGCCACGGGAGGAGCCAATGTGGGGTTCTCTCTCCGTGTCGCTAATTAGTGAGCGGAGCCCTTGAGAGCCACAGCATTTTAGTGCCAACGAGTAGGATGTGAGAGCATGAAGACGGAGGAAGACTTTTCTTTTTTAATTCAGTCCGGAAACTATGTGTCCATAACCCTCAGAGTTGCTTACCATTCATCCCTGAGGTGTTTGCCCTTTGAGGTTCGTTTTGGGGAGCTCAGACAGCATGCATTTACTTTTTTCTCGCATTGTCCACAGCTGTGCTTTCTACAGGGGTGACTGCTAGCCGCATGTGGCTGTTGAAAATACGTAACGTTAGGTGAAATGTTTACCTCTTCAGTCACCCTGTAATCGTAATTTACCACTCAGTGGCCCCTACGGCTACCATGTTGGACAGCACCGATTTGTATTATTTCCATCACTGCGGCCAGTTCTGTTGGCCTGCACCTCTCTAGGACACAGAAGAACTCTGCCTTTAGACACCAAGCCCCCTCCGCCGCTCCTGACCACCTTAACCAAGCCGTTCGACAGACTAACCCCCTTTCCGAGGGATGGCTGGACTTCCAAATGAGACCGTTTTGGGAATTCAGGAAGAGTAACTCTGTAGGAGCGTTTTCAGGGAACAAAAATTCTTACCTCTTCTAATAGTAGTTCCTAGATTGAATAAAGATAGCAAGTGATTAGATCATTATAATAATGGCAGCTATTTTTGTTGCGTACCTGCTCTGTCCCAGGGACTTTGTTCTAAACGCTTTCCAGTATTAACTCTTGTTTCTCAAACTTAAACCACCGCACGAGGTGTGGTGCTATGTTGTCTCCTCTCAGCCAGAGGCACAGAGAGGTTAAGCAACCTGGCCCATATCACACAGCTAATAAGCGGTTGAACGCAGTCAGCGTGACATCACCTGCCTCTCAGCTCTGCGGGTGGCACTGAAATATCCAGAATGCCTCCCCCATGAGGGGAGTAGCAAGCTGGTCAGGATAGTGTAGAAAACACGCCAAATACATGTAAGAGGCTGGCTCAGACTCCGACGATATTAGCAAATTCTAATAAGTGTTCTGTACTCTGGGCACAGTGGAAATAAAACAACTTCTCAAAAGACAGTTGTGGTACTTCAGGTGGTTTTGGGGAGATAACTGATCATTTAACATTTATTAAGGCAGGCTTTTTATTTTATTTCTAAATTTTTAGTTTTTCATTTATTTTGAGAGAGAGAGAGCGTGAGCAGCAGAAGAGCAGAGAGAGAAGAGACGGAAGAAGAGAATCCCAAGCACGTTGTGCCCTGACAGTGCGGAGAGCCCGACTCGGGGCTCGATCTCATGAACCCGCGAGATCTTGCCCTGAGCCGAAGTCAGACGCTTCACTGAGCCACCCGGGCGCCCGAGATAATTAATCTTGTAGATCGGAAGTTGGCAAACCAGGACCCGCAGGCTACAACCCAACCTGCTGTTGTGTTTCTGTTCATAAAACGTTACTAGAATACAACAGCGCCTTGTTTATGTACCGCCTGTGGCCTCCGTCCTCATTAGATTTGCATAGCTGGGGAGTTGGAACAGATCACATGACCCACCAAAGGTAAAGCACTTGCTTTCCAGCCCTTTCCAGAAACAGTGTGCTGACCCTGGAGTGGATCCTAGGTAGCCGCTCTCGTTAGCAGTGGTGGATTTGCGGACTCGAGGAATGACCCGAGATTGTCAGCAGGGCCCGAATAATTCAGTGGTTTCGTTGCGGGTCACCGTCGCTGCGTGCAGCCCCTGCTACACGTCAGGCACACCTGAATTAGTGCTGGCGGTAAACTGGGCGTTACAGCAACCCTCGGGTGCCCGCGTCTCAGCGACCTGACTGCCTTACACGTGCGACTTCTGATGGGTCCCCTAGTTCTCCGCGTGCGTGGACCCCTCCCCCCTCACTCTTCTGTGTTCTCCCTTGTCAGGAGACAGGTGCACACGAGGTGGTCACTTAATGCTGCCGCCCCTTAGAGATCATGGCAGAGCGATCTAAGAGGGCAAATATCAAAAGCAGCCATTCTGTACAGTTTGTATCCCGTTACGAAGTTAACGGAGATCCAATTTCTCCAAAAATCTTCTGCCCGTTTGTAAAGTTCATTATTTGAGAGAGAGAGGGCACTCCCACGCATGCCAGCAGGGGAGGGGCAGAGAGAGAGGGAGAGGGAATCCCAAGCAGGCTCCACACTGTCAGCACGGAGCCCGACGCGGGGCTCAAACCCGCGAAGTGCGAGATCGTGACCTGAGCAGAAATCCGGAGTCAGATGCTTAACTGACTGAGCCACCCAGGTGCCCCGTGTCTGCCAGACATTTAAAAAATAACTCTTTTTTTTTCTGATTGTGGAAGTGAAGTATGCAGAAATTGTAGATGGGCCTAAAAAACAAGGGGAGTCTCCCCTACAAACCCCACCACCCAAGGGAGCCACCAACATTTTTCTTGTACCTTATTCCTGTGTCGTTGAAAATGACTTAGTCTGTTTCGGTTTTATGTAATATTCCATCATAGAGATACAGTATGGTTCGCTAAACTGTTTCCTTTTTACTGGGCGCTTAGGTTGTTTCCAACCATTTGCTATTATAGATAAAACATAATGGCTGTCTTTGTACCTGAATCTCCACCTGCATCATGGGCGTTTCCTTAGGATCAAATTCTCAGAAGCGCGATTACCGATTACCGAATTAAAAACTGTCAAATAGGGGCGCCTGGGTGGCGCAGTCGGTTAAGCGTCCGACTTCAGCCAGGTCACGATCTCGCGGTCCGTGAGTTCGAGCCCCGCGTCGGGCTCTGGGCTGATGGCTCAGAGCCTGGAGCCTGTTTCCGATTCTGTGTCTCCCTCTCTCTCTGCCCCTCGCCCGTTCATGCTCTGTCTCTCTCTGTCCCAAAAATAAATAAACGTTGAAAAAAAAAATTAAAAAAAAAAAACTGTCAAATATATTTAAAGCTTAAGAGATGTGCGCACCACCCCCCATCCCAGCCCCCACCCAAAAGAGGTCATATCATCTTCGATTTAACTTCCTTCCTGACCTCAGGCAAGACTGCATTAGTCCATGTAATCTTACAACAAGGACTGAGTGTTCAGTGATAAATCAGCGAAATAAAAACCATAGGCAAATGGGGGCACTTTCCACTGATCTGTTTGGTGATTTGACACTTCTCTGAGGAAGTGGACAGTTTTCCTAGGGTGAGTGTGGTGTGAATGCTCAGATATTTGCCTGGAGACATTCTTTGGGTCCTTTGCTGTAAATCAGCAGTTTTTAAACTCAGCTGGGTAAGAGAATTACCTTACAGGTTGGGAAACCACAGGGCCTTGACACCTGCCGTCCTCCCTTCCGAATGTCCTTCCTATGTGGCTCCTTGTCTTTGTGCATGTCTCACACACATGTGGTTGCTTTGCAGACGCCTGGGTCACCTCCACGTCACTGCCAACCCCCCCCCTCCCCCCACCGATTTATTCTCTGGAGAGTCCTTAACACTCTTTATCACCACTTGGAATTTTGTGTATTCGTTTGTTTACTGTCGGTCTCCCCAAGGGCAGGATTCTCCTCTGCCATGACCATCGTCTGAATCCCTTCATGTTTTGGTATCCCCCATATTTTGGTACGAGTATAATGAGCTTTGGAGCCTTGGGGACAGCCTGGAGAAGGAGCCTGTGACATCAGGAGGAAGGCCGTGGAGGTGGAGGGGATCACTTGGTATTTTCACACTGATTGTACATGTGAATCTGAACCCCGGGCCACTGCCCGCGGCCCCTCCCTGTGTCACAGAGAAGCCACTGCAGGGCCCCTGTGAAGCCAGAGGGCCAGGCAGGTGCCCAGGTTTGATTTCTGCCTTCAAAGGCTCATCCAGTTAAGTAAAGCCCCTGACTTACTGGCTTCACAGGGGCAGATGTCGACCCCGGTACCTCCCTCACACGTGGCACGGAACCACTGCCACCCAAACGTTAGCGATCGTGTCTTGTGGGAAATGCCGCTTCGTCAGCAGGGCCACTGTTAGTCCTGAAGAGTTGACCGTCAGAGCCCCCCCCGGCGCTTAGCACAGCGGTCTCCGCCACGGGGACCGGCCGCCGTGTCAGCACGCGGGTTCACAGACGAATACGATGCCTTCCCTCGTGTTCCGCCAGGTCCAGCACGTACCGCTCCAAGGGCTTTGACGTCACTGTGAAGTACACGCAAGGGAGCTGGACCGGCTTCGTGGGGGAGGACGTGGTCACCATCCCGAAAGGCTTCAATGGCTCATTTCTTGTCAACATTGCCACCATCTTCGAATCCGAGAACTTCTTTCTGCCCGGCGTCAAATGGAACGGGATTCTGGGACTCGCGTATGCTGCCCTGGCCAAGGTAAGGCCGGCGTGGACCTGGGTGAGTCAGAGGGGGGACGCGTCTGGGGCCAGTGCTCGGACGGGCGGCGGGTGGGTCCGGGCCGCGGGGCACAGGCGGTCCGTGAGACTCCCGTGGTGGAAGCAGACCGTGGTCACACAGCGCATCGTGTTTCTGGGCATCTGTGAAGCTTAAGGTAAACGGTGCAGTCCTTCGAACTTTCCTGCCAAGATACACCCAAAGCGTTACTTTCCCTCTTTTGTCTTGGTTCTGCCTGTTTTACTTCTGCAGTGTAAAAATGTTAACAGAACCTGAATCACTTGAATTATGGTGGTGAGGGGTTTTTCTTCGGGTAGGGTCAAAAGAAAACACATTTTTTTTTTTTTTAACATTTATTTATTTTTGAGACCGAGAGAGACAGAGCATGAACGGGGGAGGGTCAGAGAGAGAGGGAGACACAGAATCGGAAACAGGCTCCAGGCTCTGAGCGGTCAGCACAGAGCCCGATGCGGGGCTCGAGCTCACGGAGTGCAAGATCATGACCTGAGCCGAAGTCGGATGCCCAACCGACTAAGCCACCCCGGCGCCCCCAAAAAGACATTTATTAAACTCCCACCTTCGCGTGGAGACACGGAGCCTGCAGGAGGTCCTGAACCTCAGCCGGGAGGCTCCCCACCACGGAGGAGAGTGTCGTGCTTTCTTGCTGTGGCTGCAGACGCCCCTGTGGAGCCCCCCCTCCCAGAGCCCGAGTGGGCCCTGAACGCACATCCTAGGGACCGCCAGCCAGTGGCCCAGGAGGCGCGGGGGGAAAGCGTGGAACCCTCGCTCTCTTCAGCATCAGAACCTGCACAAAATGGGAAGGACAGAATTGAATGTTCTCCAAACATTTGGACTCAGGCCGGCCCAAAGGAAGGGACGTTGGTGTGCAGGAGTGTGGGGGGGCGGGCTTGCTCACAGGCCCGGGGATTTCCACCAGGAAGGGAGCCAGAGGCCAGCAGATTAGGACCCAGGGTGTGCCCGGGGCTCGGGCTGTGCACACCTGAGCAAAGCGGGAGGTCACCCCACCTAGTCTGCTGTGGGCACCGCACCTTGCCCTGCTCATTGTTCAGTTCCAGGCTTGGAGCCAGAGCGGAGTGTGAAACCACAAGGCGCACGCATGTGGGACCTACCCACCCAGTAACGGCAGAGCCCCCCGTGGTCCATGAGGGCCCAGGAGGGGAGGCCTATTTTCTCTCCCTGCAAGGACGTTTATTCCAGCCCAAGCCCACTAGTAAACGGTGCAGGGGGCGGGGGGGGGGGGGCCGGGGGGGGGGGGGGCAGCAGGGAGGGGTCGGGGGAGGTTCCCAACCCTGTGGCTTCTCAAGGAGAGACAGCCCGTGAGGCACATCACAGGATGTTGGTTCCCTTGAATCTCGAGACCTCCCCATGAGGCCAACTTTGGAAGGCCGTGTTCTCCCATTTTATGGCTGTGCAGACCGAGGGTCAGAGAAGCTTACCTTCCTTGCGCAGAGCCCTTCTGCAGACCCCGAGGGGTTCTGGAGCCCCCTTTTTCTCTCGTACTGTGTGGGGAGCTTAATGGGAAACCTGCAGACTCTTGACCTACATTCCTTTTTGTTAAGTTTATTTTTATTTATTTTGAGAGGTAGAGAGGAGGGGGAGGAGCAGAGGGAAAGAGAGGATCCCAAGCAGGCTCCCAGCTGTCAGCACAGAGCCCCACGCAGGGCCCGATCCTATGAACCACGACGAGATCAAGAGTCCTACACACAACCGACTGAGCCACCCAGGCGCCCCAATCACCTGCCTTCCGAAATACGATTTCCCTGACAGCGTGACCAAGGACAAACCATTCCCTGTTTACCTGACATTGACCGCGAAAGGTGTGTGCCCAGTTGGCGTCATGGCGGATCATTTGGAGGATGGTAGAATGAAGCTGAATTTCCCGGAATTGACAATGTTGATAATAAACTTCCTGGGAAGTAATGACTCCGGGGTCCCTTTGGGTGTCCGGACTCCCCACGTGACCTTTTTGTGCGTGAAATTCCAAGATTACCAGCGATGGGGTCCCGTCCCAGCCTGGGGGAGACAGTCGCGGGATGGGTGGGGCGAGGCGCGTGGCGGGAGACCCGTGCCAGGCGGCGCAGTCTGGATTGGGGTCTGGAAGAGACTGGCCGAGCCACTCAGCGGCCACCACAGCGTGTGGTGTCTCGGTCCCCCTACACGCCTCCTGGATCCGGTGCTTTTGGTTGATCCTGGCACCTGTATGTTTTTAAACCTCAAGAGGGATCCTGAGGCGCCGTCCTTCTGAAAAGTGACTCGACAGAGTAACAATGGATCCCTTGCCGGGCACCAGGCACTATTCCAAGCCCTTTGTGCGTATGGACCCATTTGAGTCCCACGACAGCTCTAGGAGGCTATTATTTTCCCATTTTCCAGATAAAGAAACAAAGGAACAAGTCACACGGCTGGCAAGGGATGGAGCCAGGATTTAGTTCCAGGCAGCGTTTATTTACTTCGCTGCCTCCCGTGTGGGTGACCGGAGGCACGGTGGCCTGGGTCAGCACCACACCCGGCCTCCTGCGGGAGGGGACTTTGTCTCTCCGACATCGACCCAGATGCCAAGTCCTCTGCCCACCTCGCGTACAGAGATCGTGCCGACTCCTGGCAGAGAGTCGTGGAAGCAGGACTAGGAGGCCAGAGACAACAGAGTTAAATACGTGGGAAGATTTCTCTTTGCCAGCGGGCTCTTCTCCTACTCCCTCCAGAATTTCAGTTTTAATTCTTACAGGCAGCAAATAGTTCTGACGGTGACCGTCGGGGGTCAGAATGTGCCAATGGCACCTGTGCCACCACAGGCGAGTTTCCGTCAAGAACCAACAACTCCGAGGGGCGCCTGGGTGACTCGGTCGGTTGAGCGCCTGCCTCTTGGTTTCGGCTCAGGTCATGATCTCACGGTTTGTGGGTTCGAGCCCCGCGTCGGGCTCTGTGCTGACCCCTGTGGAGCCTGCTTGAGATTCTCCCTCTCTCTCTGCCCTTCCCCAGCTTGCCCTCTCTCTCTCTCTCTCTCTCTCTCTCAAAAGAAATAAACTTAAGAAACTAACAACTCCAAGTGATTGGTATCTCCCAGTTGTCAAAAATCTGCCCGGAGGTCCCTGACCTGCCCTGAGACCACCAGGGGGAGGCCCACCCCCAGCTCAGAGCTGCTCGCACACCGTGCCTCTTCCTCTGAGTCCTGGAGACTTGGGGGTGCCCAAGTGACTGCCAGCTCCACGGGGAGGGAGGCACGGGCCGCTTGGGCCCAGCAGGGAATAGGGGCTTTTCAACCTGAGGATCCCAGGACTGTCCCTTCCCTGCTGCTTTCCTGCTCCCCGGCGTTCAGTGGGTGCTGTGATCAGAGATGTCTCGCGGCGCGCCAGACGACCGTGGCTGAAAGGAGTGAGTGACGTTTTCTGAAGCCACAAAGGCCGCACCTGGAGACCGCTCTCTTGTTACTCTGAGATGGCCATGATTAGAGTTCACCGCCCATCTCGGCGACCTACTTCCACGTCTCACCCCTGCCTCCCGGAAGGTCGTGGTGACGAGTGAGACGGCGTCATGGTTGCTCTACAGCTACCCTCTTCTTTTTGCGTGCCGTCCCCGCGCAGGGGCCTCGCTGATCTACCGTATCGCTCCAATTTTAGAAATGCTGTCTTATTTTTACAACAGAGCCGCTCCAGCGGGGAAAATGCCGCCTGGTGGGAAGTCTGTTGTAGGCTTTTGTGAATTACTGCAGCTTGTTTGTGGTTTAGCCATGAGACGAATTAGGAAAATGGTTGGTACGTCACGCGTGGTGTCTGCTTTGGGTCACTCATCTGTGCCATCATCGTTTTCCCTCCTACAGCCGTCAAGTTCCCTGGAGACATTCTTTGATTCTCTGGTGGCACAAGCAAGTATCCCCAACGTCTTCTCCATGCAGATGTGTGGGGCGGGACTGCCCGTCGCTGGATCCGGTACCAACGGAGGTAGTCTTGTGGGTATCTTTTAGTCTTAAAGGGGGGGAAAAAAATCACAAATCAATCGGGCAGTTTTTTCTGTTTCATTGACACCCTGATAGGAATAGTAGACGTGGGCGCATGCAGAAGTCCTGTGGAATTTCGATAACCTTTGTTCTAGAACCTTTAGAAAATGGATGCAATTGGGAATTATTTTTATCTTTCCTAATTACCTTGCCATCCAAACGCTGATGATTGTCATTGCTTCCCCCAAATCCATTAAAGCTTCTTAAAAAAAATTTTTTTTTTCTTTGAAGGGTAACAGTTTTTGGCGGGTTGGGGAGGGGCAGGTGAGGAACCGTAGGGGGTGCGGTGAGCGGGCTTTTCTCTGCCTTGGGGAAGCAGAGGGAAATGCTGGTGATGTCATCAGTGCGGTGGGGAGACAGGCACACCTGCATATCCTTTGTCTCTCTGTGCGCACACGTGCGCACACAGCGGAAAGCTTTCTATTAGACAGATCAAAGCCATCAGCGCTGTGGATATGCTGTGGCCTGGGCGTCCCCTCAATGAGCCCTGCACCCCGATGTCTAAAGCAGGAGGTGACAGGGACGATGTACAAGAAGGGCACCTCAGGGCACGTGCCCACAACCCCTCTAATCGAAGCAAGCCCAGTTGCTTTCGTTTGCTAACAGTACACACAGTCTTTTTTTTTTTTTTAACGTTTATTCATTTTTCGATAAAGACAGAGCGTGAGTGGGGGAAGGGCAGAGAGAGAGGGAGACACAGAATCCGAAGCAGGCTCCAGGCTCCGAGCTGTCAGCACAGAGCCTGACGCGGGGCTCGAACTCATGGGCCGTGAGATCATGACCTGAGCTGAAGTCGGACGCCCAACCGACTGAGTCACCCAGGCGTCCCAAGTACACACGATCTTAATACCTTATGTACCCCCTTTTCTGGACAGAGGGCAGCCTAGGATTCATGGGGCAATGTTTTATAGTTTGACAGCATGCAGTTTTGGGTAGGGAAGCTCTTTTGTTCTGCTTTCCACGCACAATTGTAAGACAGTAAGTCTAAGTCCTCTGAGGAACTAAATTCCGTCAATCAACGCAGTTAACTATTTCGCTTCATGTGTTTGGAGGAAGCGAAGTCTCGAGACCATAAGGCTAAATTGTATGTACTTCCTTTACATAATGGAAACCCCGAGAGCATCTCGATTAAACTAGGGTATGATATTGTTGGACCTTTGGATACATGGCCCCCAAACGTTCCCTGTTTAATTTTCAAGCATATCTATCTGTTTTGTAACATCACAATAATGTGAAGGTACTGATCCCAGTGAGGATTCACCTTCTGATCGCATGCTTTCTCTGTGTAATGTGTTGCTATGCCTACGTATTTTTTCTTACCCCCGTAAATATTTTTCTTCTCAGGTCCTGGGTGGAATTGAACCAAGTTTGTACAAAGGAGACATCTGGTATACCCCTATTAAGGAGGAGTGGTATTACCAGATAGAAATTCTGAAATTGGAAATTGGAGGCCAGAGCCTTAATCTGGACTGCAGAGAGGTATTTGCACCGTGATCTCTTTGTGTCTACCCCTGTGTGGCTGGGTCGCTTAAATACTACCGCTGGGACCCGAACAGAAAAATAGAAGGTCCGTTACGTTACAAGATAAATCATAGATTCATTACATTAAAAGTTACAGGGCCTTTGTGTATGATAATGAACTCCTCCTTCCAGAAAATTTGTTTCCTTCCAGTCACTTGGCTTCGCAGGGGAAAATTAGCATAAAATGGTGTGTGCGGAGGACTGTCCCAAGGGCCACGTCTTTCACTGTTCGTCTGGGCCTGCTGGTGACTGGACTGTGTTGAAGAGAATGGAATAAGCAGGTTTCGTCAGTGCGACGGGGAAAGGCGGCCGGGGGGCGGCGGGGGGGGGGGGCGGGAAATAAACAAAATGAAACCCAGATCATCAGCTTAATCCCCCATTTCCCCCCCCCCCCCCGCCCTCCCCATCACCCAGCTGTCACTCGAGGGGGCGCACCTCGCCTGTCCTCGCGGGAGGCACACGTGTAGAGCTGGGGCACCAAGTCACGTATGAGCCGTATTCACACCCTGTCTGCGTTTGGCTCCTTTGTGGCCACGATGGCATTATGAGGAGGACAACGTGACGAGGTTGGCCTGGTTTGTAGAATGTTCAGGATGAAAAATACAAAACCAAACGAGCTTTCAGAATGGTTTATAAAAACCACAGCATTTCATTAAATCCCCACCTGCCATCGCTTCCTTACGGTCTGTGCCTTCTGCCACCAGTTCCCAAACGCACACCCGTCAGAGCTCGATAAAGCGGTGCTCCCTTGCACTGCGATAGGCCCCAAAGCCGGGTTTGTCGTCAGAGACCCTTATCTGCCATTAAAGAATCCAGCGGTAGAACCAAATGGGAGGGCCTACAATAAAATACAAATTCCACATGTGGGTGTGAGATCCTTTTCCTGACCGTGGCTGTGCTTCCGTCAAATGCAGGTAGCGGGTGTCTGTTAAATAAAGACTCTCTGTCCTTCTCTTTCTCCATTTGTGGGATAACACTTGACTTTGTAGGATTTGTATACGTGGTAATTAACATGTCGCGCCCGTCTGGAAAGACAAGTGGGTCTTTGCCCTCGGGGGCTCCTCCAAGGACATTTGAGCGCCCCCAAATGGGGGAATTTCTGCATGGAGAGAGCTGTGGACGGCGGTCACGTCACTTCCTTTTCCTGGCCTCAGTTTCCTTATCCGGGAAGTGAGCATTTGGGCTGGTGTCCAAGTTCCAAGAATAGGAAAGGAATTTAGCCACCAGTGAGGGACCACTGCTGCCTGAATGCGTATGTAGCAATGACAGCAATAGCAGGCTGCAGCCACGCATCGATTATGGAGTTTCATGTCTGTGCCTTTTCCCCGCCAACTCTCCTCTGTTCTAGTACAATGCAGACAAAGCCATCGTGGATAGCGGCACCACACTTCTGCGCCTGCCCCAGAAGGTGTTTGATGCGGTTGTTGAAGCCGTGGCCCGCACGTCTCTGGTGAGTCCTCGGGGCGCTGATAAATCTCGGGGACCGCCAGGTCATGACCACGTGCTGAGGGGTACTGCTTTGTACTCCAGTAGTCGTCATCCGAGGATTTTGAGGGGTTGGGTTTTTTTTTTTTTTTTTAACTATGACTTATTAAGTTCACAGTCTTACTCTTAACCAGCAAAGAATTTCTTCACTTTAACCTCAGAGGACTTGGATTTGAAGGTGCAATGCTGTTTAGTGTTTCAAATAATAGTGTAGTGGGTATAGGACTTTTTTTTTTTTAATCTAAGAAAAAAAAATCCACTTGGTAATACTCTATATTAAAGTACATTGTAGACCAAGGATATATTTGCAGCCTGTAAAGAAAACAAATAAACCAAAAATTGTACTCTTTTTTTTTTTTTTTTTTGGCCTTCATCCAAGCTGTGCTGGAATTTTAATTCCTTACTTCTGTAAAAGAATGTGATTCACAGAAGATGAAGGTCAATCAAAATCAAGCCCGCGTAATCATGATTAAAACCACGGCCAAGGGTGGCATGCATTTTGGAGAACTGGCTGACGGGTGTTCCAGTATGGCTCCAAATTTCCAGTTGGTTCGGGGCAACGGGATGGACCAAAGGCATTGACTGGGGAAGGGCACAGCTTCAGGGGTCTGATGAGCTCGACTGTAGCTAGGTGCCCGGGGTGGGATTTGGGCCCTCGGAGTCTCCATGCCCTCGTCGCCAGGCTGTCGTGAGGGCCGAGGTAGAAAGCCTCCACACGGTGATGCTCGGGGAGGGGAGGCCTCTGTTTCATGTTCAAACCACGGTGCCGCTGCTGCTCCTTGTTCGGACGCGTGCCAAACGTTTCCCTCAGCTTCTTGGGTGTTTTCATAAGCCTCTGTCTGCACAGGGCCACGCTTGCAAGGTCACCAAAAGCGCGCGTCTCCCACCCAGAGTCTTTCTCCTGAACGAATGCTGGCCTGACCGTCCCACTGCTCCACTGGCCGGATTCGAAGAACCAGTGACCGGAACATGCGTAGCAGCTGCTTTGTGACAGCTTCTCGCAGAAGCATGGGGAGGAGCACGGGGCTTTTGGTTGTCCTGAACCAGACTTCAAGAGTCCGAGACCGTCATGGGAAGAGCGGCAGGTGATCCGAGAGGACGAAGAGGGGTCGTGAAACAGACGTAGGGCCGAGGCCCTTTTTGAGTTTGAGAGGATTTCCAGGCAGCAGCGGTCAAAAGCCAGAGTAAAGCTCCTCTCTTGTCTCGTATCTGCTGAATCAGAAAAAAGTGGCAAGTAAAGTTTTTAGTGCCCTAAATTCAGAACGCTGGCTGAAAATCAGACCATGCTTAAAATAAGGAGCCATATGCTGATTTTCTTCAGTAGTGAAAATGTCCTCAGCAGACCTGACATGAGCCTCTTCAGACGGAGTATTCTGGGCCGCAAATGTGTTCGGGCTTATCCTGCAGAAATGCTCGATGCGTGTGTACGTGTGACCCCAGCCAGCCTGTGGCCAGCCCCGGCCTGTGCGGGGCTCACGACCCCAGCCCCTGTGTGAGCCCCGCGGGGAGAGAGCGGGCCACGCCTGCTAGGCGCTGGGACCCCAGACGGCGTCACAGCCCCCGTTCAGCGGCGACGGACTTTGTGAGAAAAGCAGGAGGTAGAAGGAATGAGATTACAGAACGTGTTTGCCTTGTCTAAAATTACCCTGTGACCTCAGAGCCTGTGTCAGGGAGGGGAGGACCCGGGCAGGCTCTCTGTCTTGGGCCGAGAAAGTCCAGGGAGGGCAGACGGGGTCCCTGGGTCAGCGCACGTGGACCACAGATGGCCAGTGTTCTTGCCTGTCGTGGCGTAGGGTTTCTTTCCAGTTAAGGGGATGGCTGACTTCTTTTTTTTTTTAAGTTTATTTAGTTTTGAGACAGAGAGAGTGCGCAACAAGTGGGGGAGGGGCAGAGAGAGAGAAGCCCAAGCAGGCTCCACGCCATCGGCGCAGAGCCCGACGTGGGGCTCAAACCCACAAACCGCGAGATCATGACCTCAGCTGAAGTCGGACGCTTACCCGACCGAGCCACCCAAGCGCCCCGGGAAATGGCCGGCTTTGGGGAGTTAGACGCGGTGCAGATGTTGGGCTCGTGGCCTGGATTGTTCAGCTGGGATTTTAGGAATGCGTGGTTTATAGGTCCGTAATTTGAGAGGAGCCTCATGGGGACTTCTGTGTATGGCAGAGACCTGGGCTCCCCGTCCCCCTAGGTGAAGTGCCCTTGTGTTCTGCCCAGCGCTTCCCCATCTGTAAAATCCAGAAGCGGGACGATACCTGCTTGCGGATGACTTCTGACCCCAAACTCTGTGATCTGAGGGTCAAAACTGTCCCCCGAGGACACGTGGCTTAGCCTTCCGGGAGGCCCTTGGACTCACAGACACCTCTTTGGAGGTGGATGGTCCCCCATCCGATTCAGAGCTATTCCCCTTAGGTGAGTTACTGGGCACCCCCCTGGGCCTGATCCCTCCGTCTGCACATCGGTGTCGCTCCCAGCACTGACGTGGGGCCCCCTTCCCCGGGTGCAGGCCCGGCCGCCCTTGTCTTAGCTCATCCCTGGGTCCAGCAGATGACAGCCCCACCCTTCTCGGCTCCTCTGGCAGGGGATTCTGCCCTCTGATACACAGTTCAACTCGACTTAACTTTTATAAAAGGTGAAAATATATTAACGCCAACATTAGAAATTGTACAGATCAGTCACGAAGTTTCATGATGGATGTTCCGTGGGAGGACGAGAAACTTTGGGGCATTTTCTCCCCACTGTGTGGCCCAGGACGGGGTGGAGGGGGGCTTGCGCCTGCCGGGTGTGGTCCTGTAGTACACGGCACTCGGGGTTTGTGCAGCAACTCTCAGTTCTTGCCCCGATTGGCCCGCACACCATCCCTGCTTACCTGTCTTACCTCCTCTCTGCTTCCATAACACCCTCCTCCTGGACTTCTGGTCCCTGCACCCTCTTCATGGGGTCTCCTTTGCCAGCCTGATCCAGGGTGGGTCCTAGGCCCTTCCCTTCTCCCTGTGTTCTCTCGGAGGGATTCCATCTACGCCACATCACCACCCATTGGTGACTCTAGCCAGGCCCGCCCCCTGGAGTTGAGACTCAAGAACCAGCGGCCTGTGCAAATCCCACTTGGACACCTTACTGGCTTGCCACAAAGCTCAGATCTCTCTTAATGGTCTGGTGAAGATGCCAGGGCGCCATCATTTCCTCTGTCTCCCCTCTGTTCCTTCCGATCCGCCCCGCCAGCCTCCACTGCTGACCTCGGTTTTACCCACTGAGGCAGCTTCTCTGCCCGTCCTCCCTCAGACACATCTCGTGCCGGCCCCCCACCCCCGCCCTTAGCTCAGCTCAGCTTCTTGGAGATGCTCTCTCCCCACTGTCTCCCCAGTGACAGGCACCTGTTACTCCCAAGTCGGTGCTCTCCTAGCTGAGCCCCCCCCCATGCCCTCCTGGCCCCGCCCCCTCCCATGCCCTCCGGGCTCCGCCCCTCCCGTGCCCTCCTGGCCCCGCCCCCTCCCTTGCCCTCCTGCCTTTGCTCCATCACACTCAGTCCCAGCTGTGCCCCTGTCCCAGGCTCTCCTAGATCTGTTCCTGTCACATACACTCCTAGAGCTCTTCCTGTCGCACACTTCTCTCGTTCTGACCTGAGCTGGGCCCTCGCTCTGCCGGCCGTTTTCGAAGAGGCACACCCGGCACGGTTCTCCCCTCTTTGAGCTGGCAGGTGCGGGTAGATGTCCTCCGGAACCTACGCTCGCCCTGGTGAGCTGATGGGAGTTAGTTGCGTTTGACTTGTGGACTCGGCAACTGGTGGGCATGTGCCGGTGGCGTTGTCCATCCAGACCCAGGGCGGGAGGCCCAGGTGGACGCTGTGTGGCCTTGGCTGTTCGCTTTTCCCGCAAATACTTCCTGAGTCTCTCCTGGGGGCCCGGTGTTAGAACTGCCAGGTGGGACAGACAGCAGGCCTCTGTCCTTAAAGGACTCAGACTGTGGTGCAGGAAACAGAAATTCGGCACTTCCACCAACGAATGTCAAATTCTAACCACCGCAGGAAGAAAGAGCGAGGGGGAGAGCTGCATGACGGGATAGCAGCATGGTGGGGAGGGTTTCCCGGACAGGAGGGCGTCTGAGCTCATGTCTGGAGGAGCAGAACGATATCGCCGGAGAGCAGAGAGCCCCCCCACAGGGCTGCGCCCCGGGATGAGTTCCGCGCTTGGAGTTCAAAGGAGAGGCGATGCCCGAAAGGCTCGGAAGGTTCTCTCTTCTAAAGGGTCGTTGGCCACCGCTGTGACCCTGGGCGCGTTACTTCACCTGTGCTCCGGTTTCCTCACCCATAAAGTGCTGGGGGGTGGGGTGGGGTGATACGGTGCTGGTGGGGTTTTTTGAGAATTCAAGGAATTACTGCTGCAGAGGGCTCGGAACAGCGCCTGATACTTAGGACTCCGTGTGGACTGTAAGGACTCCGTGTGCCTGGGGGATCTTAATAGCTGGGGATTCGTCATCACCGCTCGCCTTCCAGAAGACTGCTGTCTCGGCCAGGCCGTCCCGAGGAAACGTTGTTTACCGCCACGGGCATCTGGCGAGGGGATGCGGAGAGCTGGGAGCGGTTTCCTCTTGACGCGCCAGACGAGTCATGGTTTCTCACGTGCTCTCTTTCTGTCCAGATTCCAGAATTCTCTGATGGTTTCTGGACCGGGTCCCAGCTGGCTTGCTGGACGAATTCTGAGACGCCTTGGTCTTACTTCCCTAAAATCTCCATCTACCTGAGAGACGAGAACTCCAGCCGATCGTTCCGCCTAACCATCCTGCCTCAGGTACGAACCGGCCCGTGTGCTTTTCTCCCGGAGCGTGTCCCGTGCGCAAGTCAGGCACTTGGTGCGGGACGTGCCGGTACAGATAGCACGTCTGTGTGGGGTGTCGATCGCCACGGTGATGCCGTGTGACAGGTGACCGCAAAAGCCAGCAGCCCTGTCCGCGTGCGTGAGTCTGGGCGGGTTGCCTGGTCTCCGCAGGCTCGCTGGCGTGCTTGGCCGGGCCTCGCTTGGGTGGTCTAGGGTGGCCTCACTCACGAGTCTAGTGGCTCCCACCGTCCAGTGGCTGACGCACGGGGGTGGCGGGGCTCAGAGAGAGAGGGGAGACACGCAGGAGCCCCCGGAGCAGGCGCACAGCTGGCCATCACCTCCCGTGCACTGCTGCCCCTGGGGGCCCGGGCGGGGGAAGTGCGCCCACCTCCCAACGGGAGGGCTGCACAGTGCCATCGCAAGGGCCTGGCATCAAGGGAAGGTCGGGAATTGAGGACATTTTTGCAGTATCCACCAAAGCACCAGTACGCGTTTTGGTTTTTGGTGGTTTTTTGTGTTTTTTTTTTACTTTAATTTTTGTAATGTTTATTATTGAGAGACAGAGAGAGACCGAGCATGAGCTTGGGAGGGGCAGAGAGAGAGGGAGACACAGAACGTGAAGCAGGCTCCGGGCTCCGAGCTGGCAGCACAGAGCCCGTCGCGGGGCTCGAACCCACGAACCGTGAGATCATGACCGGAGCCGAAGTCGGACGCTCAACCGACTGAGCCCCCCAGGCGCCCCCTCCTCTTCCTAAGCTTCTAATCAAACAGCATTTTGTGCCCTGCTCCATCTCTCTCTGGCTCTCGCTCTGGTCCCCCTTCGGGAACCTCCCAAGTGCCCTCCAGGTACCCCAGCCCCCTTCTTTCTCTCCTAAAAACGTTGCCACGTAATCTTCTCTGTGGCCGCTCTGAGCCTGCTCTGCCTGCCGTGAGCCATCAGTGGGTCCCCGCTCCGTGCGTACTGACTCCTCATTCCCGGTGGCTTTCTGGGCCTCGCTGGGCCCTTCCTCGCCCTCCAGCCTGCGCCCTGCTACGCCCTCGACCCACCACTCACCGGTCACCGTCCTCTAGGGCTCTGTGCTCGCTCCGATCGCTTAACCTTTGCTCCTGCCAAGCCCCTGCCTGAAATGCCCTCTCCTCCCTACTCCCTCTGCATATCCAGATTCTTCCCATCCTTCAAGATCCAACTCAGACAAACCCTCTTTTGTTGACCCTCCGCTGAGCAGAATAACCCGTTGTGAGGCTGCCCTTCAGACTCATAATGCATGTTGTTTAGTCGTCTCATCTGGCATGCAGTCGTGTCTGTAGGGTGTGTTTTATGCTGCTGCCTTTTTCATTCGACTTCTGTTTTCTTTAAAAGCACACGCACGCACCCTTACAGTTCTCCCTCAGCTACATTAATTCCTCGAAGATAAGAACCAGGGGACTGAAGACCTTGTTCCTTCCCAGGAATGACTGGGCCGGGGAGGCTAGTGGGTAGTAACTGTTTTTTGAACAGACCGGATGAGTGTGCCTTTGTTGTGACTTGGTGAATTGGGGATAATGGATGGGATGGGGGGGGGGGTAAGGAAGGAGGAGTCATTTCAGAGGAAAAAAGGAAGTGATAATATTACCTTTTTCCTTCTCGACTGCATATGGGGGGAGGGGGGACGTGCCTTCCAGGAATGGAGGGTTACTGGGGAAGAGCCCAGAAGCCTCGGGAGAAGGCTTCACAGAGGATGCACGCGGCCTGAGCCCGAGGCTTCGGTTACGTTCTCAGCTCTGCCCCTGACTCACACTGTAACTTTGAGCAGATCGCCTCGCCCCTTCTCCGTCTGTCCCTTTAACTATAAAAGAGGATTCCCGATACTTGCCAGAGACATTCTCACTGCATACGGTGCTGTGTTTTCTGTGTCTTTAAAATAATTGCGCGCCGTGATTGCATTTTGGGCACACCTCGAGAGGTAGGCATCATTTCATCAGCGTGGTTCGTAACTAAAGTTGAATCCTAGCTTCAGGACAAAGGTGAGCACGTAATGGTAAATTAATGGCATGGGGTTGGCTGCCAGCATCAGGGACTCCTAAGAAACCAAGAAAACAGGCATTCGGCGGAAAATCTGTTATGTCCACAGCAGGCGGTTGGATGGGCAGTTGTGAACTGTCGCCTGCTGAGAATCTCACAAGCTCCGGGTGCCACTGACACACCCCTCAGGGTCAGCGCTGGGGGTGGGGGGGGGAGCATCTCCTAATAACCCCGCCCCCCCCCACTTCCTAACATTTAGGGCAGCCATCAGGGCTCCTTGTCCCCAAAGTTTTAGAATGGGGGGACCCCTGCCTAGGACCTCCGGTAACAGCAGTACTGGAGGGGCATATGCTGGCTAGTGCAGAAAAGCGTTGTGTCAGAGGCATCTCTGAAATTTTGTCCGTCTCCGGCGCTCTTTTCCAAAAGCACATGGGCTGAATCTGTTTTGGCCAGTTTTCAAAAGCGGCCCCCAACCCCAGCCCACAGGCGAATTCTAGTTTTCTTTTCCCCAGAACCCTAAAAATGTAAATAATGCCAGTCTACCCCTGATTGGTCTATGGGTGCTATTTTCGCGTGAGGCAGACAGTTTATTCTGAGATCTACCAATACTGCAGCTCTCCTAGCATGTTCCAGCATCTACAGTCTGGAACCTTTACTGGAAGTCGTCCGGGACACGCAGGAAGAGTAAAAGATCCCAGATTCAGTCTGCGTGTTTTTGTATCGGTAGCGTCTGTTACAGGACAACGTGAGGATTGATTGGGTTTTATTATAGAATCAGTTGGGGGAGTGTGTGTGCTCGTGTTCGTGTACTTTCCTAGGGCTTGCTTACAGAACCTTAGGTGAAGGTGCTTTGACGGCACGTAAGTGTATCTGCCTTTGCCTAATTTAAGTTGATCCGGGGAAGTCGTGCTTTTCATTTGGTGCCGATGAGGCTTAGCCCCTCTCACTCAACGTAGCGCACACCTCCTGAGGTCCTGTGTGCCTGTCGTACCCTAGAAGCCTAGGCACCAGGATGCAGTGAGGAACAGAACGAATGGGTCCTTGTCTTGAAGGAGGGCTTGGAGACAGACAGACCAGTCGGGCAGGGTTCTAAGGGCAAGGCTGTTCCCTGGACGCAGCAGCCGCTGCAGGCGATGTCCCTGCTCGCCTCCCTGCCTTGCAGCCGCCCTCCCTCTCGCCTTCTCTGCACTGACCGGGTCAGTGATGTTCCTCTTCCTCAGGGGTCCGTTTGATCAGATACTCTCTCTGCAGCCTGACTTCTGGTTTCCTTTCCTGCTCTCGTGTCCTCACTCCTTGTGGCTGGTGCTCTGTCCTGCCTCCTGCTGTCGGGGTGCTGCCGGGAGGCAAACCATTCCTTCCTTGGGACAGCCCCTCCCTGCTGCACCCTCTGAAAATGCCCGGCCCCCCCCCCGCACACACACACTCCTTTTGGCAACAAAGCCCAGGGCTCGAGACCTTTCCCTCCAAACTTTTCCTCGTGCTTTTGCCCTTTAGCGCCGCTCAGTACTCACAAGAAGGTCATTCTTCCTACTCGTGTTGTAATCTTACGCTTTATTTTCCAAATGTTTGGTATTTTGTGTTACTCAGCCACTGTATTCTCTCGGTTGCCTGCATTTGAATACTTTGCTGTTAAAAGAACAAAGGGAGCCTTCTTACTGATGCAAGGATGATTTGCTCTCTGATTGTTTTAAGTTTTGACTCATTTCCTCTGGAACTCGTGCCCCACCCTCCGTGCCCTGCCCCCCCTCCCCCCAAGGACCTCAAGGGCCATGTTTGTGTTTATTGAACTTCACAGCCCCTGCAAGAAATGGCCCTCAGCCAGGACAGACCCTTCTTCCACGAGGTGTGCTCTATCTTCTCTCTGACTCTGACGGCTTCTCTCTCTTTGACTGAGGGAATAGATCCTCCTGCTTCTGCCTTGCTGCCTCCTTGGAAGCTCCCTTTGGCAGAGGATGACAAGGACAGTGTCCTAGGCCAGTGAGGAGCCTTTGCTGTTGCTCGGGAGAGAAGATGATGCCGATGGTCCAGACTGGGCGGTAGCCATGGGGATGGGAGCGATGATTGTATTCGGATTCCATTTCAGCGGAAGTCCTGCTGTGTAGGGAAAGAGATCCTGGCCCGGTGTTGCAGGGCCTGAGTAACTGGGTGAATCACGGATTTACTGAGACAGAAGACCTTAAACAAAAGGCACATTTGGGGGAAATGTTCCCAGTTCAGTTTTTTTAATACTAGACTTGAGATGCCGGTTGAGTGGCGAATGGGCAGGAAGACGTAAGAGTGTGGCTATGGCAGCAGAGATCTGCCTGGAGGTCAAGATTCGGGGGTCAGCATAGAGCCCAGGGGTGTGCTTAGGGTCACGGGGCCACATGGGTCACCCAGGGGGACAGCCAGAAGGAGAGCCCAGAGCCCTGGAGTTCTCCGATGCTTGCAGTGAAGAAATTAGCGGCCGGTGAGTTGGGAGGAAGAAGAGAGAACCCTTTCTCAGAAGCCAAGGGAAGGAAGAGGTCTCAGGGGGAGACTTCGCTGGGCGACATTGCCGTGGAGGGGCCTGTCGGAGCGGTTCCCCCCGACTCCGCATTTACCTCCTGCCTCCTCCGTAGATGGGGAGCTTCAAGGGGGCAGGCACGGGGTGTCCTTCAGCCCTGTGGTGCTGGCCCTGAGGCAGTATCTAAGCCATGCCAAGTGCTCTGTCAATAACAGCTGGCTGGTTGGCCGGCCGGGCGGACATCACTGTGGTGCCCCCGTGGAGTTACAGGTGGAGCACGTGCCTTCGTCACTTTCAACGATGCTTATCACCACGCTTGTGCTCTCAGCTTCTGGATGGCAGGGTGATGTCCCTGCACCCCTCCCCACCCCACCCCACCCCACCGTGTATCTCCCCACAGCACCTGGGAGGCGGGGGCGGGGGTTCCGAACGCGGCGTGACCTCGACAGCTCCGCGACGCTGCCCAATTCATGCCCCTCCTTGTCTGTTTGCTCTGTCCTCTTATGTAGCTTTACATCCAGCCCATGATGGGGGCTGGCCTGAACTACGAATGTTACCGATTCGGCATTTCACCTTCCACCAACGCGCTGGTGATCGGTGCTACCGTGATGGAGGGCTTCTACGTGGTCTTTGACAGAGCTCGGAAGAGGGTGGGCTTTGCGGCAAGCCCCTGTGCAGGTAAGCGACGCGTGCGTTGGACAGAAGACCCTAACCGGAGCGCTTTATTGGAAGCGATTCTTGGTAGCGTGTCAGTTGCTACTGAATTGTTCGGTGCGGGCCTGTCGTCACTGATCGGTCTTACCATTAAGACGTACCGTAAGATTGTGGAGAGGAGTAAGCGAGACAATCCACGTAAGGCGTTTAGCCCTGTGCTTGACACATGGGAAGTGCTTGTAAATGTTAGCGTGATAGTTGTCTCTCGGGTTAAATTTAAAATGGTGTCTCAAAGGGGCGCCTGGCTGGCTCAGTCAGTTGAGATTCCAGCTTCGGCTCCGGTCATGATCTCACGGTTCGTGGGTTCGAGCCCCGCGTCGGGCCCTGGGCTGACAGCTCAGAGCCTGGAGCCTGTTTCACATTCTGTGTCTCCCCCGCTCTCTGCCCCACCCCCACTCTCGCTCTGTCTTTCTCTCTCAAAAATAAATAAACATTAAAAAAAAGGGTATCTCACACCATAGAATAAACATACGCGGCCTTGGGGATGAATTACAGGCTTTTTGACAGTGAGATCAAAATAAATAAAGCAGATTCGTGGGTAAGCTGTGTGTTTTTCTTTCCCTCCAAGAAGTCTTCGTTGTGAAATAAGTCAATGCCTATCATTGCTATTTCTTGAAATCCTAAAATAATGAGATCAAGGAGCGTGTTTTTCTCCTAGAATTCTTTTGGAGAGCTGGTTTGAGGGTGAGTCAGCAGCGTGGCTCTGCAGAGCTGAGCTTGAGAGAGTGGGGCAGGTGTTCAGAGAAACCAGGAGAGGACAGGGAAGATGATGGGCGGGTAATCCCCCCAAACTCGAGAATGTCTGTAGATGAACAACTTGCTAGAATGGGGTGTCCGCACAGCGCATGGTTCAGCGGGGTGGGGGCGGGGGGTCGAGTACGTCTAGCAGTAGCCCAAGCTGGTGTGGAAAAGGCCAGGGCTGGACGTGGCATGGGATGGAATCGCCCGGACGCGTGGAGAGCACGTGAGCAGGCAGTGGCCGGGTGCCACGGTGCTTCTGGGTAGGATTCCAGGGAACTCACAAATCCTGGCACTTTGGATTCAGAGTTGGTGGGTAACATGCCAAGGGAGAGGAAAAAAAACTAAGCAGACGTGAGGCAGCCAAAGAGTGGGCAACAGAGAGGTGGAACCGAAGAAAATTAGAGGCTGGGGTGAAATACAAGACCACCATGCAGTGCAGGGGTGGAGGTGTGTGGGTTAGATGAAAGCATCCTTAGGCACTAGACGTAGCGACAGGATGGGCAGGAAGGCTGACCAACAGTGCTGGTCGCTTCGACCCTGACCAGACCTTCCCTGGGATCTAAAACCAACGGGAGAATTTGGGGGAGAGTGTCAAACGATCTCCGCTGATTTATTCCGGAGAGGGAGGTTTCAGTTATTATTTGCTACCCAAATCGTGGTCGTAACATTGGGATCCTGGTTAAGAAAGCAGGTCAGTGATGCGTCACGGTGCCTCACAGCCTCGTTTGGACACATTGGCGTTCTCGAAGGGTAACATAACAATTTGGAGAGTGGGTGAAGAGAAATAGTGAAAGGAGAACTTACATCCGGAATATTGGCCCTACTCATGTGCTGTCTAAAAAAAAACCACCCTGGGGCACCTGGGTGGCTCAGTCGGGTAAGTGTCCGACCTCGGCTTGGGTCATGAGCTCATGCTTTGTGAGTTCGGGCCCCGAAGTGGGCTCTCTGCTCTCAGCATGGAGCCCGCTTTGGATTTTCTGTCTGTGCCCCCCCCGGCCCCCGCCGCCCCCGTCTCTCTTCCCCGCTGGCTCTCTCTCTCTCTCAAAAATAAAACATAAGAAAAAAAAAGAAAATACCCAACACCACGTACATATTTGTTGCAAATACCTTCTTAAACGTTAACGCAGATTCCTCTGACTTTATTGGTGAGCGGGCTCAGAGTCCTTGAGATAATGTTTATCTTTGAGAGCGCATTACCTGTTTTTAGCCTGTGAGGTATCCCAGGGGGAGACCTTTCTCTGGGCACTACCTGGGAGTGTATAATCTGAGATGCTACTCTGTCTCCTGGATGTGAATGCTTTACTTTTTTTTTTTACATTTATTTATTTTTGAGAGACAGATAGAGCACAAGTGGGGGAGGGGCCGAGACAGAAAGAGACACAGAGTCCGAAGCAGGCTCCAGGCTCCGAGCCATCAGCACAGAGCCCGACGCGGGGCTCGAACTCACGAATCGCGAGATGGTGACCTGAGCCGAAGTCGGACGCTTAACTGACGGAGCCACCCAGGCGCCCCTGAATGTGTTTTACTTCTTATAACCCAGAGAACTAAGAACGAAAGCAATTTTCCTCACAATTTCTGTTCTCTTGTTAAATACCATTAAAGTAGAGGCTGCTATGGCAACAGCCGTATATCGTCCACTTAATTCCGCAGGGAGCGGAATCACCGTGTCTCCTAAGTGAATTGCTGTTGGAAATAGTTTAGTATGAAGCGTCTCCAGGCAAAGCAACATTCGTTCCTGCATTTCAGCATGAATCCTTTGGTAGGTGCGCTTATAGAAGTTTTTCTGTTACTATTTAAAAAATATATATTTAGGGTTTTGGTACTTAAACATTTGATTTCACCAGCCATGGGAATACACGCAGATATGTCTCCTCTTTCGTGCAAACCGTTTAGCCATTAAAGTAATTCCTTCCCTCCAAGCTGCAATTAGGAGCCAGACAGTGGTCTATGGGGCTGTAATAAATGGAAGAGAGACACCACTTTTTTTTTTCTCTTTCTAGAAGTGTTTATTTTTAATTCATAACCTGCTTTAAATAACAAAGAAAATGATTTAAGTCACAGGAAATCATGTGCTTTGTACACACTTTTGGAACACCCAGATTTAACAAATGCTAACGTTTTTGTCATATTTTCTTCAAAAATGTGTCATAGAAACAAAGTAAATGGAGTTAGAGCCCCACCCCACTGCCTTCCCCAGAATTACCCTTTAGCTTGAAACCCGTGTACGTTCTTATAATTACTACGCACGTAACATTTCACTACACAGGTATGAGTACCTTGCATTCATCATCTCTTGCTTGGTAACAACTTAGCCCCCAGTTTAGCGGTACTTGATGACCTTGTGCAGGTGCTGAAGGTCAGCAGCCGAGGAGTGGCTTAGCTGGTGGTTCTGGTCTAGGGTCTCTCGTGAGGCTGGAGGGGACTCTTGGAAGCTCACTCCTGTGGTTGGACCTTGCCAACCGGACCTTACTTGCCATTTGGACCTCACACCAGGCTTCCCCGAGCACACTTAGGACAGTCGTCTGGTCACCCGGGATTAAGCGATTGCAGGGAGTAGAAGGGCAATAGAGCAACCAAGACAGAAGCCACAGTCTTTTTTCCAACCAATTTTGAAATGGCATACTGTCGCTTCCGCCCTATTCTGTTGGTTGCACAGAACCACCCTGGTGCACTGTGGGAGGGGGATTACACGAGCGTAAACACCGGGGAGCGGGGATCATCAGCGTCACCTTAGAAGCTGTCTCCCATATACCTGTAAATAAGTACCATATAACAACCAACATAGGTTGGTTGGTTGTAGGTTTTTGGTGTTTTAAAATGTATACGGGGGCGCCTGGGTGGCTCAGTCGGTTAAGCGTCAGACTTCGGCTCAGGTCATGATCTCGCGGTCTGTGGGTTCAAGCCCCACGTGGGGCTCTGCACTGACAGCTCGGAGCCTGGAGCCTGCTTCGGATTCTGTATCTCCCTCTCAATCTGCCCCTCTCCTACTCACACTCTTTCTCTCTCTCTCTCTCTCTCTCTCTCTCTCTCTCTCTCTCTCTCTCAAAAATAAATAAACATTAAAAAATTTAAGGAAACAATTATTCAAAAATAATAAAATGAAATGTATGTGAATGCTACACAGTACTATAGATAATAATATATATCCTTTGTCCACCTGCTTTATCGGTCAGCATTACATTTACTAGATTTTCCGTGTTGATGGGAGATCACCCATTTTGACTGCTGTATAGTATCCTCTTGGATGAATATACCCAGATTATTTACCCAGTCCTGCCTTGATTAACATCTGGATCGTTTCTAATATTTGCAGTTATAAACACTACTGCAGCGAACATCTTTCTGCCTGTGAATGAGATCTTCTGAAAATGGAATTTCTAGATGGTTTGGTATGCCAGTCTTTGGAATTCCTGGCTGCTGTTGGATTTGTCCTCAAGGTAGCTGGACCATCAGGATTCTACAAGAGTTTTCATTTCCTCAAACTATTCTATTCTATTTGTTTTGTTTTTGTTTTTGCTTTTTGCCAATCTATATGTGTGAAATAGTGTCACAGTTTGATTACTTCTGAGATGACGCAACTTTGGATGTTTTCGGGGTATCTGAGCTTTCTCTCTTATGGTGAATTTTTCTACCTATAGCTTATGGACATTTTTCTACCATATTTTTTATTGATGGCTACACAGTCTTAATATTTGATCCATTAATTCTGGGGGGCTAATGTGTGGTAAATATCTGCTAGTCTCTGGATTTCTCTTACTTGTTTTTATTAGCTTTCACTTACATTTATTGACATTTAGGGAAATAAAATGTACCAATCTCTTCTTTACGGCTTTTACTCTGTACCTTATTTAAGAAATTTTTCTTTAATCTAAGAAAATACAGATTTTTTTTTCTAGAGATACTATATACTTCTCCTCCCCCCCCCCCATTTTCTCATAATGTGAAGTAGGAATCTAATTTTTATAAGGGCATTCAATTTTCTCAGTACCATTTATGGAATATATTTTCTCCTCTGATATTTTCAATATTTTATTCTAAAAATTTTTAATATACAGAAAAGACTAAAAATAATGACATTCTAAATACACAGTATCTAGATTTAATAATTTTATATTTTGATGTGTATTAGTATGTGTGTATGTAGTTTTTGTTTGAGACATTTGCAAATAGGTTGCAGATATCATGACATTTTACTCCTAAATATTTTACTCCATAATACCTCA